TAACTTTTGAAAATGTTCCGGAAGGTCTGACACTTTTATATATATCTTAAATTAAAGCTAATGTAATATACTTTAATTTCAAAAAAAAAAATTTGACCTCTGGACTTGAAAATGGCTATCGAATACTATTTTCGTGTGAAAATTCTCGATTTTATTTTTTTTATTATATTTAACTTTATAATGCTATAACTTATTGAAAAGTGTATGTATCCACACAATTTTTTTATGAGAAATAATATTTTTTAATAAACCCTTTTTCATTCGACATACTTTATCTTAATCGAGATATTAAGAAAGAACCAGCAGATAATGTAGCTTTTAGAATAAAACACTATTTTTTTTAAAATTAAACATTATCTAAAGATTTGCATCGAAGCGTTTATTTTTGATAGTGATTTTAATCACTGTCAGATATCATTATACTTGATCCAACTATACCACGTCACAACTGTGCCGCGACCCCCCTGTGCTGGGTTTTTTTTTCATTCATGATGTTACTGAACTGACAATATTTTAATATTAGATTATTTCTTGTTGTTGGTAAATATAAATAAATAATTATATTTAAAAAAATTAGTTAACTATTTTGAAATAAAATTTATTTCGGCAAATTTTTGATAAATGTGAAATAGTGGTGTTATTATTAGTTTTTTTTAATATTTTAACATGTTTTTTTATGTAATTAAGAATAAGTTATGCAACTCAAAACAGTTATTGCTTTTCTATATTAGATTTACTTCTATAATTCAAGTATTTAAGTTCATTAATATTAACAGTAATTAATGCTCCATAACAATTAATATTTTCTGTGCAAGGCTTATTATTAACAGCAGGGTAACGACACCAGTTATTTATAATTTGTTAGTCTTTGGAAATTTTTCTGTTTGAAATATTGCTGTCTTCTTTTAAGATTCAAAAAAATGAGCTTAAAATTTCTTAAGAACAATTAAAAAATATTATTTCAAAATTAAATATAATAAATTATTGATTTATATACAAAATTTGCCAAAATTGAGTTGTTGTGTCAATGAATGGTATTGTTTTTCTATAAAACTTTTTAATTTCTAATAAAAATAAATTATTTTCTAATTAATGACACTTTAGTGTGGTATCATTAATGGTGATGGAGTTGGAATTATTTTATATAATCAAATTTTATTTTAATTAATATCTGTAACTCTGCATGTGTAATATGTTTCATTGATGTTTGTGTAAAGAGTTGAGCACAAAATCTGTCCGAATCAAAATCTAAAACCATAAAATAATATTAATAATGATTAGTAATCTGGTTTGGTGAATTTAATTATCATTTTAGATTAATATGTTTAATTCATTATCCTTATAGATAGATTCAACTTAAACACTTATTATTTAAATTCATCTGAATTCTGGGTTGATCAAAAATGTGCTCAGCTCTTATTGTGCATAGTATTTAACTGTTTTTCTGATATAAAAACATTCAAATGTTTATGCAAAAAAAAAAAAAAAAGCACCATAAATGTGGTGTAGCATTAATAAAATTTTGTGAATTCTGTTATTTAGCAAATTAATCTACACATAATTGTTGATAAATAACTATTAGCTTTATTAAAGTGTTTATAAAATAGTATTTAATAATTAGTAATTAAGTAATTAATAATTTTTTTAAATTTTCTAGGTCAACACGATTGGGTCCTACTGATAGTCCTTGTGGTCTTGACTCAGTTCCACCATTACCCTCAGTGCCAACACCTCCATCAGCTGGTCAATCAGCTCCATTATCTATTCCACCGCCAATGTTGAGCCCTCATGATGAAAAAATTCCAATTACTCCTTTATCAGTTGATTTCCAGCCTAAATCTGTATCATCTGTTTCAAACCAAGTATTTTCACCTTATCCAACTTCAGCACCTGCAAGTCAAGAGCCAAATAAGTCTGGGCGTGACAGTAATGTTGGTACCCCTACTCCAACTAATAATGTTAGTATTTCGGCAAATACTCCAACATCTACAACACCTGTTTCTCAATTAACAACGCAGAGCTTAAGTACTTATATATCTCTAAAGAGGCCCCAGCTTTCTTCAAAAGATTATGAAACTAATCAAATGGAGGAAGAACTTATGCCGTCCAAGCTGCTATATGATTACTCAACAGTAGATGCTTGGTTATATCATCCTGTAAAGAAATTTAAACCTGCAACACCTAAACAAGAGCCAGTTTCAAGGATAAATAATACTTTAGAAAATCCCGTGTCCCCTCCACAAGTATATATTAGAAGAGATACTAATTTGCCTTTACATTCAGTAATTTTTTTTAAATATAGAATAATAATTTTTAATTAATATTTTCATAACTACTCAATTATTTTATTTAATTAGGTTGAACCAGCCGAAAATCCTATGATTAATTTTACTTTTGATGAAGTGAAAAATAATGCTTTAAGGTTTAAAGACGGGCGATCAGATCCCTATGAATTTGATGAAGAAAATGGTGCTCATTCAAGTAATAATGTGATTAATGCTCTAGATTACATGAAACTTAGTAATTCAATGTCTACAATGAAGGTATATTTTATTTTCAAATTATTGTAATATTATATGGATAATTAAATTGATTTTTAAACATAACATATTTTACTTTATTAATATATTAGCAAGAAGATGTTAAAAAAGAGTATGATTCTACAATGATGAATGGAAATAAGTGTTTGGGTGATAGTATGAGAGATCTTGATCATATGTTTGATAACGACGATCTTTCCAGTGATGAAACTACAGCTACTGTAAGTTTTTTATTGTGAAAACAAAATAAATTACTTTATTATGATAATAAGAATTGTTGTTTTAAATAAATAGCTGCAAATGCAAACGCCTCCTGGCTCGAATAAGCCTGATGACTGTATTAGCAATAATTTAACAACACTATTAGTAAGGCCCCCGCGTGGAAGTGGAGGAGGTAGTGGTGGTGGTGTATTAAGACCTGAAGAATTAGTCAAAATGTTTCCAACCCCACCATCTTTAGAGCACAACCCTATAGCATCACCATGTCCTGACATTGATTTATTTCCTTCTCGTACTTATCAAAATTCATACATGGGAAGTCCTCAATATGATCACATAGATGTAAGTTTTTACTAATAATTTCATTTTTAGTGTAATTATAAACTAGTATTGTATTGAAAACTTGTTTTATTCTTTATTTCTAGTTATTTTAAACAATAAAGTTTTATCCAATTTGGAGAAAATATAATATCTTTAGTCATACAGTTTTTTTTATTATTATTCTTAGTGTTTTATTTTGAAAAACTGTAAAATAATTGATTCAGCCTTAATAATGTATTTATCATTTAAATTTATAGTGTCGTCGTTATGCAATAAGTGACTATGAGATTTAATTTTATAAAAATATTTTTCAAATTGTGTTAGAATTGAAAAATTTTAAATAATTCAAAAAATTCTAATACATTTATATTTTTTAATATTTAAAATGAACACAGAATTAAAATTTTTATAGATATATTAGAGTTTTGAATGTTAAAAATGTTAAAAATGTCACAAATGTTAATGTTATAAAAAATAATAATATTAAACCTCTTTAAAAAGACAAAAATGCATATTAAATTGTTGTTTTACATTTGCTTTATTCTATGCAAAAAATTTTAATTTGTATTAATAAAGTATTATTAAAGCTAATGAACTAGCTGCTGAATTTCAAGATTAATGATAGTTATCATTAACTCATGTTTAACTTTTTACTATTGCTATTACTTCTATTATATATTTATAAAGAATTTTTATCAACAGGATTGGTCGTATGTTTACAAGCCACCAATTGTTGCTAAGATGGTTGGATCTTCAAAATATGCTCCACTAAATAATCTGCCAAGTCAAAGCTTACCACCTTTAGTATTGCCTTCAAATTGTATATATAAACCATCATCCTTTGTATATCATACATCGCATTCCCAAATTCAACATCATCAATCTCAACCTGAAAAACAAACACAGTAAGATTATTACATATTGTTTACTTCTTTAATAACATATTTCATAATTTGTCATTAAGACAGACGCGGTATAAAATTATATTAGGCTTAGAACTCAATATTTAACTATTTGAGATCAGATTTATTTATTTTTAATACACTTCAATGCACTTCGATTTTAACATTTCTATTTTGAAAAAAAAGTTTTTGAGTTACGAGGTTTTTAAAAGAATTTATTTACTGTGTGATCACTAGATTTCTTTTAAAATAACAATAATTTAAAGAATTTTATTTTTAGCTTATTTAAGTATTATTTATTTCTCGATTTTTGAGTGGTTGAATGTTTTTTATGTTTATTCTTTATGTCTTATAGTGGTATCAACTTAAGTTTTTTAATTGGCATAATTTATATTTAACTAGTTAATTTAATCTAAAATGATCCAACTATAAAAAATACTGCTTTGATAACAAATTCTGAACCAGTAATTCAAAATTTATGAATATTTTAATGCCTTGATGAATAGAATAGTTAAGAAATGTGTCGCATTATTAAAATAACAAACCACACATCTTGCCTTCAGTCTATATTTAAAAATATTAATAACTTTCAAAATACTGGTTCAACTATTGTATCAACCAGACAATTTTTTATGTGGATTATTTTTATATTATATGAACAAATTTATATGTATGTTGTCATTAAAAAAAAAAAAGGTAGCACAGTAGGGTTACGGAATTGTGTGTGGCATAGTTGGGACTAGTATAGATAATATCTGACAGTTATTAATGTCACTATCATAAGAAACGCTTCAATGCAAATCTGTAGATAGTGTTTCATTTAATTGTGAAATAAATAATACTAAATAAAATCAAAAGTTTGTTTTTCTAAACTATTATTATTTTAATAGAAGTTTAATGGTCAACAATAAATTAATAACTATCAACCTTATTATTTTCCATAATTATAATGTGTTACTTAAAAAATCTATTAAATTAAAAATATAATTTGTTCTTATTTCATATGAAAACAAACAATTTTGTTTCATGTTAATATAGTTATGTTCTTAATACATTTATTAATTAAAACTATTTGTATAATTATAAAAATAGTATTTTTAGAATCCAAGATATATTTTATATTATACATTTCATTTTAGAATTGTGCCTCCACCTGCATCATCTGGTAATAGCAATTTGATGCCAAACATGAATCGTAATAATCATTATCTTCATCCTATGATGATGAGTCCATCACCTCACAATTCACCATGGCCTGGTGGTGGTAACCAGTATCATAGACCTTCATCTCAACAGATGCAACAACACCAACAAGTTCCTCCACCACCTTATAGTCCAGCTGTTTCACAACATCACAATATGAATGTTGGATCTACTAACATATCACCACCAGTACCTGAAGCTAATTCTATTGTAGTGATAGTTTTGTTAACAGATTCATTATTAAATGTCTTCCGAGATCATAATTTTGATAGTTGCACCTTGTGTGTTTGTAATGCTGGTCCAAAAGTAGTTGGTAATATTAAAGGTACAGATGCTTCTGTTTATCTTACTCATACTTTGACACCAAATGGATTTTCTTCTCAATATCAACAGCATCATATGTCTGTTGGAATGCCAGGTTAATAAATAAACCAATTTTTATTTTCGATTTATTTTAACTAATTAATTTTTTTACAGGTGACGATGATGGTATAAGATGCAGTTGTGGTTTTAGTGCTGTTGTAAATCGACGTCTGTCTCACAAGTCAGGATTATTTCCTGAGGATGAAGCTGAAATAACTGGATTGGTTGAAGATATTCCAGTTCGTGTTGATGATAATTCAATGAATCCTGAAGTTTTAGAATTAGTGAGAGAACAATGTGCAGCAGTTGTACATAGTCCATGTAATTCTCTTGTGCGAGCTGCAGCAAAATATGCAATATGTAATTCATTACAACCAACATTAGTTAATATGTTAGAATTTTCTGATACAAATCAGGTTGCTTTATTAGCTCTAGAACAAGGAAGGATAGCAAAGGTATATATTTTATTTTTAGTTGATTTAGGAGTAAGCTAATTGATGTTTTATTGTTTTTTTAGTTGGAAGGAGGAATGAACAATCATTGGCAAGTTGAACATCATCGTTGGCCTGGTCATCACCAACAACCATTACCCTCTTTAAATAATAATTCTCCACCTGTACACAAATGGGCTTATAGTCAAGCTTCAGGACCACGGAATAGTAGACAATTAATACGAGTAATGCGAACTCTGCAACCAATTTTACAAGAAGCCATTCAAAAAAGAAGTGTTGCATCTCGGCTTTGGGAACCATATTCTGTAACAGGACCTTTAACTTGGCGACAGTTTCATCGTTTAGCAGGAAGAGGTACTGAAGATAGATGTGAACCTCAACCAATCCCACCTATATTAGTAGGACATGATAAAGATTGGCTTGCTGTTGCACCTCTAGCTCTTCATTATTGGGATAAGTTACTTTTAGAACCATTTTCATATTCTAGAGATGTTGCATATATTGTTGTTAGTCCAGATAATGAATTTATTTTGCAAAGAACAAGAGCTTTTTTTAAAGAACTTAGTGCAGCATATGAAATCAATAGATTAGGTCGTCATTGTCCAATAACAAAAGTACTACGCGATGGTATTCTTAGAGTTGGAAAATCGGCTGCTGCAAAACTAGCTAAAGAACCTGTGGATGAATGGTTTTCAATGTTGGGTGAAAACCACCAATCTTCAATGTTGAAATTGTATGCCCAAGTTTGTCGTCATTATTTAGCTCCTCAATTGTCTCAATTTTCCATGGACAAAACTCTATTGGATCCTCCTGAAGGTAGTGTACCAAGACCTCCACCTTCACCAATGCCACCTCCTGCATCAATGACACCAAATTCTGTTGAATCTCCTTTATCTTCTGATCGTGCTCCTACACCTAAAAGTGAAAGTGCAGATGAAATATCTGCTGGATCTCAGGCTGACAAAAGTTTTAATAGTAGCAGTGACAATAGTCATTGTGATGATGATGAAAGTGAAGTTCCAGCTATTGTTATTTATCTTGTTGAACCTTTTTCAATTGGTAAAGACAGCAGTAATCTTGCAAAAATTGCTTGTCATGGTCTTCTACGATGCTATAATACAGTATTGGCTACTTTACCAGAAGTTATACGTTCTAATATATCTGTTCAGGTATTATTTGAAAAACAAATTTTTATTATTAATAAGATGAAATAGCATATTCTTTTCATGATTGACTGTAATATTTTTTAAACTTCAACATTTTTTTTTTATTGCAGCTAATATCTTTAGAAAGTGTACTTGAACTTGGTCGATCATCAGATCATTTGAAAATGAGTGACAGCATGAAGACATTAGCTTTGTCTGTATTCAGTCAATGTAGGCGATATTTAACACATACTTCCAATATTAAAGCGCTTACAGGTTTTGGTACTGCAGCTATGACTGAATTATTTTTAAAGAATAAAGATGTGAGCAGAACAATTAATATAATTTGATAAATCATATAATCTTCATTATTATTATAATCATTATTTCAGGAGAAAAACAGAACTGCTTATAAAGCATATACTCCACCCTTCATTTTAGCGGGTTGTAGAAACAATAAAACTGGCAGAACTGATAGTAGTTTACCTGGTGACATTGGCGGAAGTGATTCTTTATCCATCCTTGGAGGACCTAATGGAAATGGATCACCTTCAGGAACTGACCAACAATGTTCTGTACTTTATGCTAGTTATTGTATTTCTGAAGACCAACGATGGATATTAGCCACAGCAACAGATGAACAGGGCATTCTTTTAGAGACTGCTACAATTAATATACATGTTCCTAATAGGTAATAGGTTCATTTAAAATAAGTTATTGCTGTCAAACTTATTTTTATGCAATCTTCAATTATTATTTTAAAAGTTATGATTGATAAAAGATTGTATTTAAGGAATTTTTAAAATTATAATATAATTTTTATGAAGTTTTCTTAGACTTCTATGTATTAAATTAAATAATTTTTTAATAAATAGAAATTTCTCATTTTACTTTAATGTTTTAATTAAATATATGGTAGCTATCAATATAAGAGTTGTATAAATCATATAGGTATAATCAGTTTTGAAACAAACCATCTTTATTTTAATTGGATAATTTTCATATTATTAGTACTTTTTTAAATTAAATTAAATATCCTCCAACTATTTACAAATTTTAATTACTTAACTAAATTTTATTTTTAACTTATTTAACTGATTTATATGTCTTAACTGGCAAATAAATACTAGACATTTTATTTTGATATATTTTAATTTAATAACTGAAAAATCAGATTCAATAATAACATAAAATTATCTACTAATTAAAATAAACTGATTAAAAACTGGTTTTAAGTGTACACAATAAGAATTTTTGATGAATAAGATGTAATATTTTGTTTGTATAAACAACTTTTTTTCTTTAGAAATAGACGAAGAAAATCTCCAGCACGAAGAATTGGATTACAAAAATTAATGGAATTTATATTAGGTGTGATGAGTCAAAGTGTAACTCCATGGCGTTTAGTTGTAGGAAGAGTTGGTAGAATTGGTCATGGCGAACTTAAAGGTAATTATTTTTAAAATTTTATTTCTAGGAATATACTATAAATATACATTTTATGTATGTTAGGATGGTCTTGGTTATTGAGTCGTAAAGCATTATTAAAGGCATCACGTCACTTAAAGGAATCTTGTAGTCAGTGTAGCTTATTATATCAAAAGTCTGATGTTCCATCTGTTGTAAGCGCTTGTTTAGTTTCTTTGGAACCAGATTCATCTCTAAGATTAATGACTGATCAATTCACACCTGATGAACGTTTTAGCCAAGCATCTGTTGCTTGTCAGTTATCTACTCCACGTGACATATCTGCAACTCATATATTAGTGTTTCCAACATCTGCAACGACACAGGTATTTTTCAGTACAAATTATTGGAATTTAATTAATTAGTTTTTTAATGTGATATATATATATATATAAAATATTAAAAACTTTAAGTTTTCATAAAAAACAAGCCTAGTTATTTGAATAGTCCTTTTAAAATTTAAATGCTTTTCAATGTTTTTGCTTTTCTATTTTATATATTGAAAATTACAATAGCCTATTTATATTTGCAATTTTTTATGTGGGAGCAAAAATAAACTGATATTTTTATTATTTAGTCTTCACAGACCGCTTTTCAAGAGCAACAGATAAATGGTCCAGAGCTTGGTGATGATGAACTATTTAGTGCATTTAATGAAGAAGATATGCCAGAAGGTATGGAAGGTATGGGTGACTTCAATGATATATTTAGTACATGGAATGAGTCAGATGCAGTGGGAAACACAAGTTTAGGGCTTCCTAGTAGTGGAGTTACTGGTGGTATAGGTGGATCAAATGGAAATGTATTAGGAAGTGGCATGGGAACAGGATCTTTAAGTGGATCAATGGGAATGGGACGTGGATCTATGGGAACAAGAGGTGATTGTTCTCAGCCTGGTAGTCCCCCCTCATCACAACCTTGTAGTCCTTTCAACTGTGGCTCATCTTCATACAGGGTAAGTACTAATTAACAAAGTATTAAGACAGTATGAACAAAAACATTAAACTTCGATTTTATTGATTAATTTTTTATCCATTATCCATTTTTTTTTATTAAATTTTACTATACAAAAAACAAGTGTTGAACAAAAAATATTTAACAGTCATTTTTTAGCTTGATAATTTTTGATAAAAATTGATTTTTAAATTAATTCTTAATTTATTAAAAAAAAAAATAATAATTGTTACAAAATAGATTTATATTTATTGAAGTATAATAATTAAAATATTTATTTTAGAATGGTAGTAGTTGCTTGGATAGTCATGAAGAAGTAGGAGCATTACTTCAACAACCTTTAGCCTTAGGATATTTAGTGTCGACTGCACCAACTGGTCGAATGCCTTCGTGGTTCTGGGCATCATGTGCACCAGATATTGAAAAATATAGTCCAGCTTTTTTGAAAAGTGCATTACATATGCATACTGTACAGCTTCCTAATAACGCAGATCCTGCAGCAGCAGATCTTTTACATCCAACATCTGCAGTTTCAGCACATCCTTTAGATTCACAATATACCACAGATGTTTTAAGGTAATTAAAAAAAAGTAAAATTATTAATTATAGTTGCATAAAACTAAAGATAATATTTAATCATAGGTACGTCTTAGAAGGATATAATGCACTATCATGGTTATCATTGGATTCGAATACTAGAGATAGAAAGTCATGTTTGCCAATACATATGCAAGTGCTTATGCAACTGTACCACACTATGAATGCTCTTATTTAATGTTTTCTGAAATAACTTAGTTAATTATTCACAAAACATTTTCTTTATTGTTTCATCTAATTTATAGGTCAATTAAGGTGATATTTTCTTATGTAAATTTTTTAGCTATTTTTGAAAAATATGTTTTAAAAATAAAAACTGGACACCATTTTAGTTTATACATAAGTTTATTAATATTAAATTAAAATAATGAACTTAATAAAATAGTAGGTACCATTGGTTAGAAAATTTTTAGGGCAATTTTATTTTATTACAGTATGTTATAGATAAATTGTGAATGTAAATAATAATATTATTATTATTCTTGATACATTTTTTTTTTTCACTTTTTTTTTATGACAATTTTTATTTGAGTTGTCAAGGAACGAGTTACCATAAAATATTGTGTCGTTTTGATGGTTGTTCATATTTAAGTTTATTATTATTACTTTTTTTTTTGTATAATATAATTTATTGTCCCTTTTTTATTATCACATTAATTTATTGTAATTTTTTATAGTAAATGTCAATATTAGTCACTTTGATTTGTGACTGTTGTTAAATATCTGGCTTTAAATTTTGAGCTCTCATTTTCCCTTCCTTCCCTAAAATATTGGGATATATGTACATGTATATTTAAAAACATAATATTTTGGTTTATTATCATATATAATTATTATATTATTATTATTTATTATTATTATTATTATTATTATTATTATTATTAATATTATTGTATAAATGAAGTGTAAATTTGTGCGTATTTATGTATAAATATATTTTATTAATTATTTATGTAAAATATTTATTGTCTTGACCAAAAAGAAGAAAATCCTGTAGAATTATCAATAAAATTGTAGCCAATTTGAACAAATTATATATTCTAACCAAAGTTATTAATTATACATGAACTTTTTTTGAATAATTATTATATTAATGAAATTACTGTAAATTATTACTACAACTTTTTCGTTTTGTACAGGTACATATAATGTAAAGTATGTGTAATATTAATAATATTACTAATAAATATTGTAATACAGAAATTAAGTATTGTACAAAACTAAACCATGGAATACAGGTGGTTTTAACATTATTATTGTGAATATTGAAAATGTATGAAAAATATTAATACCTTGTACGCAGGCAATGTTAATGTTATTCCATAAAAATGTTTAAAAAATAATTTTTTGAGTAATTTATTACATCCTAGTCCTAAAATATTAAAATATAAATTTGGTTACTAACTTTTATGTAACCAAATAATGTTGATTGGATTCAACTTTTTTATGTTAAAAATAGTTTTAATAGCATAATTAATTGTATTTCATTTTAACATCAACATATAACTTGTACAATATAGTGATATTGTTATTACTAACAATAATATACTGATATATTATGAAGAGCCTAAAAAAAGTCAACAGCCATTTTTTTAAGTTAAAATTAAACTTTTTTTTTATTATATATTAGCTTCGATGCGAAGCTGAGAAGGTATTGGTTTTACTATAATGTGTTTTTTTTTTTTTTTTTTTTTTTTNCCCAAAAATTGGTAAAAAAATTCCCCCGTTCCCCGTATATGAGGGAAACCTCCAAAAAAATTACAAATTTGAAAATCGCTAATTTTCGAAGTTTTTTCAATTTTTTTTACTAAAAACTGTCATAACTTTCAAAAATGAATATATGAATATAATTTTTTTTTTTATAGATGCTTAATGTCTTTACCTATTATTTGGTATATTTTTTTTGTAAATTTGACTTTTTGTCTGCCCACAAGGGGGGATTTAAAATGACAACTTTTTCACAAAAAATTAACTTTTTCAACTTAACTTTTGAAAATGTTCCGGAAGGTCTGACACTTTTATATATATCTTAAATTAAAGCTAATGTAATATACTTTAATTTGAAAAAAAAAAATTTGACCTCTGGACTTGTCTTCACGGCGAAAATGGCTACCGAATGCTTTTTTCGTGTGAAAATTCTCGATTTTATTATTTATATTATATTTAACTTTATAATGCTATAACTTATTGAAAAGTTTATGGATCTACACAATTTTTTTATGACAAATAATATTTTTTAATAAATCCTTTTTTATTTACCATACTTTATCTTTATCGAGATATTAATAAGGAACCAGCAGATCAAGTAGCTTTTGGAATAAAACACCAATTTTTTTAAAATTAAACACTATCTAAAGATTTGCATCGAAGCGTTTATTTTTGATAGTGATTTTAATCACTGTCAGATATCATTATACTTGATCCAACTATACCACGTCACAACTGTGCCGCGACCCCCCTGTGCTGGGTTTTTTTTTTATTTTCTTATTTCTTTATATAAAATTTTCATGGTAGATCCTTGTTTCAAAACTAAAGGCATGGATACATATGTAATGATTTCAAATAATACAATAATCCATACAAACTTTAAACTGCACACATTTATAATTGTTAAGATTAAAATTAGAAAAAAAGGAGAAATCCCTCTAGAAACATATCCTGTATATGCTTTGAGTATGGGCCCAGAAAATATAAAGGTCACTTAAAATAATATTGTACCAGTAAGAATTCTATATTTAATTATCATTTTTTGTTCGTTTTGAAATTTATTTTTCCTTGAAAACTGTAAATTATTAAAAAACGAGTAGATCAATGTTTAAGGTTATAGATTATAATTATTACCCTTAACCTTGTGCCAACATATTTTAGGAGTAACTATTGCAAACATTCAGTTTTTTTTGTAAAATTTTTATTATTCTTTTTATTTTTATTAAAAAGTTATTAACAATTTAAAGTACTGACTGGAGCTGAAGATTATATATAATAATATAATTTTTGATTGGGGGTCTCTGAAACTCTAGTTGTGTTACTGTTTATAAAATAAATATGAGGACACTATATCAATATCATATAAATTATCATAATAATAATACCTCTCCTCAGGAATTTACAATTTTATACAATTTATTACAATTTTGTGAAGAACAAGAAGGTCCATTTATATCAAAGTTTTTTTGGATAAATATTGAAGTATTATTTGGCCGAATTATTTTACTTAATGAAACCTAATACAACATAAATTAAAAAAATATTTTTGTTTAATGTTATTTTGTATAAATTAAATGTATTCATACTGTGCAAATAATACGTCCACTAGAATCTTTAATTTATTTTTTAGATAGAATATCAAATTCTGAAAAGGTTAATCACATAAAACATTTTTACACAGTACCGAAATTTGTCCATATAACCTTGCCATTTAAGAGCTGTAATTTCATCTTTTAGTACTTTAAATATAAATTACTTTTAGATCTACAAATACAGCAATTTTGAAGCATATTATTTAAAAAATAAATGTCATTGAACAAAATAAAATAATAAAGGGAACAGAAGTGTTATGTCATATAATGTAAAATGAAATGATATTTCATTGAAGATTAATGTGTTTAAATTTTGTAATATTTTGTTTTATCTTGTAAATGCAAGTCTTTAATTTATTTTTATACATATGACCATATGATTGAAAAAGTATTTTAAATTTGTGATGCTGTTCTATTAAATTATATTTATTGAAAATTAGTCTTTTAGATATTTTCAACTAGATTGCGTCATGTCGCATGTGGCGATTGCTACATCAATAACGACTCAAATCATTAGCCAAAATGCCAAGCCTGTTTGTTCAGCTATAGGTCTAAGGTACATTTTATATTTATTTTTATCTACTTTTCGTGGGACGGGCTTATCATGTAAGCTATCTTTTATCAATATAAAAAACAAACATTGATAACTTTAATTAATAAAAAAAGTCAATTACGATTTTAGAATAATTTCTATGTAAATGATTGATTTTTATAGTGCTCGTCTCGAAGAGTTCAAAAAGTAGAATATGGGTAGATAAAATTCAGTTTAAATTATATGGAAATTAGATACTGTACTATAGTATTTGTTGAATTTTAACTGTTCTTATGATGTAAATTTTTAATATTTAAAATGCTATTTACTATACGTGTTTATATTTCTCTTTTTAATTAATTTTTTTCCTTTGAATTATTTAATTAATACTTTTCAATGGTTTCCCCTGACATTATTGTTAAAACAGAACCTGACTACAATTCTTGTACAATTTATTATTGTCCAGTAATTGGTTGCAAGTATAATGTAAACAATAATTTATCAATGAAGCATTTTAAAACATATAAGCTTCTAAAACAAGTAAGTTTTACTGAATAAGATAGAAATTAAATTAATAATTAATTTATTGATTGCAGTTAATTATTAATCGATATATATATATAGGTATTTAGTAAGTAAGGATACGGATTACTTTTGCTCTTATTGTTTATAACAATTGATGTTTCCTTACTAACTGAACACTCTGTGTATGAATTTATATTTTATATATTTAAGCAAAATAATTTCTAATATATTTTTAGATTTTATACGCTGAGTCAATGATAATATAAGTATTTTCTTAATAATTATTTTCTCTTAATTTCAAAAATATTTACTGCTATTATTTAATTGATTTTTTGGTGTCCTTTCAAAGTTGAATTATTATTATTTTTCTTAATTTTAGCATTGTATTAAAGTACATTCAGATAAAAAGTACAAATGTAATAATTGTAAAAAAGGGTTTGCTTTGGAATCTACCCTAAAATCACATCATGTTACATGTGGTGTTGTGTATTCATGCTATTGCGGGATTCGGTATAAATCACCTGAGGCATTTCTTACTCATACTAAAAGAAAACAGCATGACATAGGACTAGGATATTCGACTATTATGAAGTAAGTAGATCAATATATGCATTTACATATATAAATTTACCAAGTATTTCTATTTATAATGTTATCATTGTATGTAAACTACTTGAAATTGAGTGGAAGAATTCAGTAAAATTATTTATGGTTATAATATTTGTTGAAGTATCTCTAATTATAATTATAATTTATGAGAATTCTGGTTTAGCATATTTAGATAAGATATTCATTATATTTTTAAATACCATCTCTCATATACCAGAAGGCAAAAAGTAGAAGACACCTGGGGATTTAGTAACTTAGCACATAAAATAGATAACTGGTTAATCTTTTAATGCATTAGTCTTTATTCTCTTATAATTACTAAGTGCCGAGATGTTTAATTTTCTAGTGGATGTCTTTTGGTGTGGCAGATCATTCAGTCACCATTTTAGTGCTCATATTCAGCTTCACTATTAGCTGTTACTTCCCTGATGAGTGACCATACAGGATCATTAACAATGGATACACACCTTTCTCCATTACTATTTCTCTCAGCCATAATGAGGTTGAATCAAGTTGACAGCCAAAATAAAAATCTTCTCAAATCATTTTAAGTTAGAGCCTATCCTAAATATTTGGAATAGAGGCTAATGTTAGATAATATATTAAATTTTAAATAAATATTTACATGAGTTTAATTGGCAAAAATAATTTTATCTCTACCCTTCAGAAAAGTAAAAAACGACTTTTTACTTTTTTTATACTGAATATTATTGTTTAACTGAAATTAAAAGAAAAATAAATTTAGTCTTAAAATTAAAATTTTATATATTTCAGCATATATTTTGGCTGAATTAATTAAGACCAATTATCACTCTGTGTATAATAAAGATTTTATCAATTTTATTTTGTTCTGAAACAATAATTTATTATTACATAAAGTTTATGTTATTATGTATTTTCTATGTTTAATATTAGTCTTTGAACTTTGGATTTAAATATTAAATACTTGTTTTTTTTTTATTTTGTAGACTCTTAAAGTCCAGGAAATTATTTCCTAGTTCAGAAGATGACTTTCAAAAATCAACCAAAAAGTCTGCTCATACACAAACTGTAACAGACGTTCAAACATTATCAGATTCTTCTACCCAAACAAATTTTGATAGTAAAGATTGTTTATTAAGATATAATGATCCAAAATTATCATCAGCTACATCAAGTCCTATTAGACGTTTATGTGCTCAAACCCAAACAGACCCTCAAGGAAGCAATGTAAAAAATATTGCCGATACAATGTTTTTGGATTCTGAAACCCAAACTAATTTTGATTTCTTAGATATTTATACTCAAACAGCTGATTCTGAGTGTTTATTTGGAGATTTAGAGTTCACAAACATACAGACACAAACTAATTTTAGCTCTTTTTTCAATAATAATAAAGTAGACGTCAAAGATAATAGTAACTGATTTTCTTTATTGATTTTTGAAAAACTAGTGTTTTTAAAATATACTATAACGATTAAGGTTATATTGTAATTAAATATTTAAATTAAAAAGTTGCGAGCAAATTTTTTATCTTAATATAAAAATTTTAATTATATGTAATGTAATCATGTGACGTCTTTATGTGATTTGTATTTATTTTATTTATAAAGAAAAATACAATTTCTTGTTTTTAATTGAGTTAATAAAGATCATTATATTCCTTTAAATATATTTAATTAGTTGTTATGAAAAGTGCAATATACTAGTTTAAGCATCAAATTAATTTTTTTTTAAATATTGTTATGTTATAACTTAAACAGTAATTAGGCTAAACATTTGTTCCAGAATATATCTGTGTCTTGGATCAAGAAGATTAAGCTTATTTACAAAAATAGAAGAAAAAAAATTGTTTACTATTTTCAAATAACTGCTATAAATTCTTAAATATGTAATCAACATGATATAAGTTTCTTTTAGTAGAATGAGAGTTCTTTTTTAAGGAGTAACTTAGGTAATATTACTAATATATTAAGTTTTTCTACAGCAGTTATTTGAAAATAGAATTTCTTTTTCTATTATTGTAGATTGGCTTTTCTAGATTCAAGGTGCAGACATAATGTTAAAAGCCCTCTTAATTGGAGTGACCACTATAGTCTTTAATGAGCTGTTAAGCCGAGAGAAAAACACATCCTTATTGTAAATGTATAAGAAGTAAATGACTGATTTTTCTATTAAAAATTTCTCTCAAAAAAAACAAGAAAATAGTTATAAAATTATCACTTGATCACTTCTTGTACATAGGTGACCAAATTTCACTAAGATTTGGGGAAGAACTACTTTAAATCTTAAGAGACCCCTAAAATTGGCTTATGTCCTTAAAATAAAAACTTTAAAACTAAAGGTTGCAGCAATTAAAACACCTGTAATTTTAAATAAAGAAAAATTGAATAATCCATTGATACACAGTTTATTTGTGAACATTTAAATATAAATTAATTGTATTTACATAAATAATTAAAAACTTAATTGATAAATGAACAATATTTTTCATAATCATCAATAACACTTCTTTTTTTTTTAGCTTCTTTACGAATCTGAGAAGGTATTACTTTTACTATGTGTTTTTTTTGTGTCTGAACGCTCAATTTCAGCTTTCGTTGGACCGATTTTGATGAGAAATACGTCAAAAGGTCACAAATTGTATCAAATGTTATTTTTGTATAACCATCCTGAAATACAAGGTTATTTATTTATCACTGACAACTTAATTTCTTCTAAAATAATAAATTTTGAGCATTTTAGCTTCGATGCGAAGCTGAGAAGGTATTGGTTTTACTATGATGTGTTTTTTTTTTTTTTTTTTTTTTTTTTTTTGT